AACAGAAGTATTTGGCAAATTTTTCCTTCCATTTTTGAACTCTGCACCAGATAATGAACTAAACCACAGGCATCTTCACCAGAATCATGGAATGAATTAAGTTCCTGAACTGAATACCATTAATCAATGAGTCAAAGATAAAGTTTCAAGGGAAATTAGAAACTATGTAGAACAGAAGACCTAGCCAGAGCAGTTGAGAAAGAGAAAGAAAATAAAGGACACTCAAATTGAAAATAAGGAAATCAAAGTATCCCTCTGGACAGATGACATGATTGCATATTTAGAAAAATCTAAAGACTTCATTCAAAAATGTTAGAAATGATAAATGAATTCAGCAAAATTGCAGAATTCAAGATCATAATCAGTAGTATTTCTATACAACAATTGAAAAAAATAATAAGGCAAATTATAATTACAGATAGCTACAAAATATAAATTTAACCAATGAAATAAAAAAGCTCTACAATAAAAATTATAAAACACTAATAAAAATGGAAAAGAAAATGCAAAATATTGAAAAGTCTCCCATATTCATAGACTAGAAAATTGGTACCATTATTAAAATGTCCATACTATCCAAAGCAGTCTACAGATTCAATGCAACCCCATCAAAATACCAATGGCACTCTTCACGGAAAGAGAAAAAAAATCCTAAAATTCATATAGAACTACAAAAGTCACAAATATCCAGAACAATCCTGAGCAGAAACAGCAGAGTACTCGCATAACAACAGATACATAGACTAAAAGAACAAAATAGAGAACTCAGAAATAAATTCTTATTAATAGCCAACTGATTTTGATAAAGGTGCCAAGAACAAGCTTTGGAGAAAGGACAGTCTCAATAAATTGTGACAAAACTGGATATTCAACTGCAGAAGAATGAAACTAGACCCCTTACCACTCATCGTATTAAGAAATCAACTCAAGATTGATTGAAGACCTGAAACTATGAAGAAAATATAGGGAAATGCTTTAGAACATTGGTCTGGGCAAAGATATTTTTTGCACATTACTCTAAAAGTGTAGGAAGGCATAGCAAATATTGACAAATCAGATTACCTTAAACTAAAAAGCTTCTGCATAGTAAAGGAAGCAATCAACAGAGTTAAAAACAACTTAAAGAATGGGATAAAATACATACAAACTATTCATCCAAAAGAGGATTAATACCCTGAACATATAAAGAACACAACTCAACAGCAAAAATAACAATCTAATTTTAAAAAGGCAAATGATCTGAACAGACATTTTTCCAAAGATGTACAAATAGCCAATAAATATATGAAAACATGTTCAATGTTACCAATCATTAGGAAATATAAAGCAAAATAAAACAATTAAGAAAATACCATAAATCTCCCCCCAGTTAAAATGAATATTATAAAAATGACAAAAATAAATTCTGGTGAGAATACAAAGGGGAATTCTCATATATGGTCTATGAGAAAGTAAGTTAGTATGGCCATTAGGTCATTTGTAGAAATTTGGATAGTATTTCCATCACCTCAAATATTTATCACTTCTTTGTGTTAGGAACATTCAAAATCCTCTCTACTACCTATTTTGAAATATATTAAGAATTACCAGCCATAGTTGCCTTACTGTGTTGCAGAACATTAGAAATTATTCCTCTTTTCCTACCCAATTGCATCCTTCTACCTGTTAACCATCTTCTCTCTATCTTCCACATGACCTTTTAAGCCTCTAGTAACCACTCTTCTACTTTCTACTTCTATGAGATCACTGTTTTTACTTTTCACACATAGATGAGAATGTGTTGTTTTTCTTGTGCTTGATTTATTTCATTTAACATAATGTCCTCCAATCCAATCCATTTTGTCACAAATGATAGGATTTTTTTTTTATGGCTCAATGGTATTCCATTGTGTAGAATACATCTTTTAAATTCATTCACCCATTGATAGACACATAGACAGATTCCATATCTTGTCTATTGTGAATAGTGGCTGCCATAAACAAGGGCATGCAGATATCTCTTCAAATGTACTATTTCATTTCCTTTTAATACATACTCAATAACTGAATCACTGGATTATACGGTGGTTCTGTTTCTATGTTTTTCATAGTGGCTGTACTAATTTCAATTCCCCAAAGTATGAAAACTCCCTAGCTCTATATCCTCATGAGCATTTGTTACTTTTTTCTTTGATAAAATATCTTTTGATAAATAAAAAAACATGTAAAGATGGCTTAACTGGAAAATTCTACCAGATATTTAAAGAGGAAATAATGTCATTTGTACAAAATTTCTTGCAGAAACTAAAACAGAATATTTTCTGAGGAAAATATTATCCTTATATCCAAACCAAACAAATACATTACAATGAAAGAAAACTGCAGACTAGTATCCCTCATGAACTTGAGAGTAATTTTCAGTAAAATTTTAGCAGGGAAAATCTAGGATTATAAGAGCAGAATGATAAGTCTTGATTGAATAGTGCTTTTCCCCCAACTATGTAAAACTGATTTAACATTAGAAAAATCAATCAATAGAATTCATTTAATTAACAGACTATTGAAACAAAATCAGACAATTATTTTCATATGGTGAGAAAAAACATCTGTAAAAATTCAACATCCATTCAAGGTAATATTCTCAACTGGCTAAGATCAGAACTGAAATTCCTTAATCTTGTGAAAGGTCAAAAACTTAACAGGAAGGGCCTGGGATATAGCTCAATGGTGCCATACCTGAGCGGTAAGTGGAAGGTCCTGAGCTCAATTCCTGATACTGGAGAAAAAAAAAATTAACAGGAAACATACCTAATGACAAAATCCTGAATGATTCCCATTTTTGATCGGGAGCAAAGCAAGGATGTCTTCACTTGTAATTCTTATCCACCATCATACTGGGAGTCCTGAGCAGTGCAATAAAGCAAGTAAGATGAGTAAAAGGCATACAACTATAAAGCAATAAAATAAAACGATTCCTTGTCGCAGGTGGCATGATAAAATATATGGAAAGGAATCTTCAAAAATGTTTCTAAGGCTAATACGTGAGTTTAGCAAATTCACAGGCTACAAGGCCAATACACAAATATTGATCATATTTTCATATTCTAGTGAAGAACTATAAATAAAAATTAAAAGCAGTACTCTTAGAATTGATTCTAAATTTGTACAAAATCTCAATCCTGAAAGATGTAACATCCAAAAAAATCAAAGAACCAAATAAATGGAAACATGTTGAGCCATCTTTTCATTTGTCTGTCATTTGTATATCTCTGGTTAAATGTCTGTTCATTTTTTTTGCCCATTTTATAGCTGGATTATTTACTGTTAAATTTGGGGGCTTCTAGATATTATTCTATACTGATGTTAATTTTAGAGAACTAGAATAGGCAGTAAAATTTCAAAAAAGAACAAAGCTGGAAGACTCGTAGGACCTAATTTTTATATATATATTTCCATTGAGTTTATTGGTGCATTTTTGGTAAAGTCTCAGAAAGCAAGATAATGAGGTACTGATAAAAATATAGATGTACAGGAGCTGAAAGGGGGTTCAGAACTAGATTCACATAAATCTGGGCAGTTGACTTTACAACAGTATAAAAGTAAATTTAATTAAGAAATGGTAGTCTTTCCAATAAATGGTGCTTGACCGATTGGATATCAACTGGGTATATCAAAGGGTAGGGAGAACCTCAACCCACAAGTTCATACTCTGTTGAAAATCAAATCAAAATTTATCATGGTCCTAAAAGTAAAATGTAAAACTTGTAAAGTTTTAGGAAAAATAGAAGAAAATGTCTGAGATTCTGAGTTGGGTCAAGAGGTCTCAAGTACAGCACCAAAGCACAATACATAAAAGAAAAACAAAACATAAGTTGGCATTCATAAAAAATTGAAATCTTTTGCTCTATTGAAATACTTTTTAAGAGAGTGAAAAGCTACAGCTTGGAAGACAGGATTTGTGAATCACACATCTGATAAAGGACTTATATTCAGAATACACAAAGAATTCTCAAAACAACAATAAAAAAGAAATCTCAGCTTTAAAATGATCATAACAGTTGATTGGGTAATTCACCAAAAAAGATATACATATGGCCAAGAAACAGATAATAAAAAATTTAACAGAATTCATCATTAAAGAAATAAAAATTAAAATCACAGCAAGATAATGCTATGCAAATCAGAATTTCTTTAAAAATATCAAGTATTGAATTCTGTCAAATATGCTGAACAACTGGAATTCTTAGAGATTAGTTGTGAAAATAAGAAGTGGCATGATTTTTTTTAGAAAGCAGTGTGGCAGTTTCTTATAACAAACTTATGTTTGACTTAGATAGTTCCCAAATCCCTAGATGAATGCTTATCGCAACTTCGTTCATAATTGCCCAGTATTGGAGACCCAGATGTCCTTCTGCTAGAGAATGGATAAACAAGCTGAGCTGTGATCATACAATTCACTGCTACTCGGCAGTAAGAACCAACAAACTATTGATGGAAGCAATAAAGTAGATTAATCTGAAATGTGTTGTGATAAATAAGAAGCCTTACTCAAAGGCAACATGCAGTCCCATTACACCATGTTCTGGAGGGGACCAGGGAGCAAGTTAGTAGTTGCCAGGACTTCAGGGTGGGGCAGGAATGCACACAAGAGTGAGAATTGAGGAAGCTTTAACGGCGATGAAACTGATTTGTGCCTTTATTTCGGTGGTGGTGGATGTACAACTCTACGTGAAAAATTAATTTTATTGAATGTAAATTTTTTAACATTATTTTTAAAATGGCAACCTAAACAAACTTGCTGCCCTTAACCATTCTCTCTATCCTCCTTTTCTCACCAATTATGTGTAAGGAAAATGGGCAGGAGACAGAGGACTGAGGAAGTCAGCGTTATTGCCCAGTAGGGGGCGCTGCTGTGCTTGTGTTCCCCGGCAGGGTGCGCTATTGGGGAGATGTGCAGGTAGAAGGTAGAGGTCCTTATCACATTTGCTGTCTTTGCTGATGTGTTGTATGTCTTTAAATAGCCAGTGCTCCAGGATCCAGTCCCATATGGAGAAAAGATCTAGAGACAGACTTCAGTATGGAGAGAGGGCTCCTGCAGAATGCCCTGAACATCCTCTGCTTGGAATGATAAGGAGAAATGGATTTGCTGTGGGTATGACTCAGTTGCTTTTCTGCTTTCTGTCTGAAAGGAATGTCAGCAAGGTAAGAAGACATTGGAGCAAGGGGGTATGGGAACTGGTATTATGAAAGGGACTTTGAACAGGTAAAAGAATAGAATGATGATCTGATGGTGTGTGCCTTTCTACAACTAGCAATACAATGCTGGGACAGGTGACAAAAATGGATTAATCAGAATGAGAAGTACAGCTAAAGGAAGTGAAGGGGTTTAGTTTTCCACCTGTCTTAGTTCCTGTAAAACATTCACTCTGAAAGCAATTAAAATCCAAGTTTTGGATATTGAAAAGGAGGGTCGAGCAAGAGAAGAGATTTAGAATGGCTTAATTTTTATCATTATGCTATTTTTAAAAGCTTCAGGTAGGAAGGATTGCCTCTTTTCTCAGTCACAGTGATTCTAATTCCTTCTCATTTCTTTCTGCCTCTATCACAATGCCTGTAAGTGCCCTACAAAACAAAACAATAAAAAGTAAATAAACAGAATTCTGGGACACAAGATGTTCCAGTGCAGCTGCCCTTGTCTTACAATTCTATATTCTGCCTCTTATGTGTTAAATGGCATATATGATTAAAGTTTTAAAGCAGACTAGGTCTTTTAAATTGTCAAACAATTGAAAAGTATAGAATCTGTCCAAGATAAGCAACAGAGGGAGATTCAACAGAGAAGAGTCAAAGAGAATGCTTGGGGAAAAAAATAAATCCCTTTCACACTTGTGTCTAGCCAAGTTCAGGTTGCTCAATAGACCAGCTTTCTTGGTTTTGTATGAGTGCTTTTAGAATGTGGTAATCATGTCAGGTGAAAAGCACCCTTCCTTTCAATTGCTCTCTGGATTAAAAAAGCCAGTGCTCCAGGATCCAGTTCTAGATGAAGGAAGTGTTTCTTAGGGGAAGGGAGGTAATAAGGATGGTTCCACCCTGGGAACATTCTGGAGACAATATGCCAGGTATGTAAACTTGATTTACCTTTGACTTTAAGGACATAAGTCAACCTACTGTTGGTTTGTCCAGAAAATTCCAGTTTGAAAGCCAGAATTGAAGTGGTTTGAGTGACGATAATATCCCAGGACTGATATCTCTGGTTGTACCCTGCTTTGCATAGTTCCCAGGAGTATGTAAGGTAAGAATTAGAAGAACACAAACACTTAGAGTAAAAAGGTGAATGAACTATCCACAGTGATATACTGGTAATATTAGTTCTGAGATTCTTACTTTAAAAACCATGCCCTTTGCATTACTCTACAGAGTAACACAAAACCCTGTATCATCTTTATCAATCTACTTAAAAGCCACAAAATTTTTCCTTTCACACACTATTACCTCTTATCTAGCTCTCTGTTTTCTTTCACCAAATTTATTGTCACAAGGTCACTGAAGTTTTTAAGACCTTTTTAAAGATTTAGATATGAAAGTTTCACCAGGTGTCAAGTGTAGGGACAGTTTGCTGTTTGCTCAGCTGAGCAGCAAGTAGGAGTTGTGCATTTGTGGAAATTCTTATGTTAAATCTCAGAATTACACTGAGGCTATGATGCTTGGGGTGGAGAGCCCTACAAAGAGGGAGACATTCATCCCTATTGCTATTGCTTAACACACCAAAAGCTGTATTGACTGGATTCCTAATGAAGAGTAGAAGATGAAGATTACACCCCAAAGTGAAAGAGGTCCCCTTTCTGATCCATGTAAAATGGTGATATACTATGTAGCAGCTTACCTGGTCCTAGTGCTTGGACCAAGGAGTCCCAAATGATGATTTGGAAAAGCAGATGTTGCAACTCAAAGGCACTGAAACTTTAGGAACCTAGCTGAAGGTGTTTGGTGTGATTGAATGTTCCTCTGCCATTATTCTTGGTGGCAATTATTAGAGAGCTATTTATGAAGATCAAGGCACATTTGGTGAATATTACATGAAAGCCAGATTTTGTTGAACATGTATAGAGGAAAGATAGAAAAATGTTTAACTCTACTCTCTGTCTTTTGGAATCCTTGACTTCTCTGTACTCTCCTTCTGAGCATGATATTCAGTGAGTATGCTAGAAATTTCATATGTGCCCAGAACCATATATATTATCTAAATTAATACTCATAACAAACAAAGGAATTTTGGTCACTGTTTTACAAGTGAGATTTAAATGTGTGGATTGGGTTGTAGGCCAGAAAGTGATAGAGCTGAGATTCAAATCTATATCTGGAACACAAAGGTTTGACATTTACTGATGTGTAACACTGTCCCTCCCAGGAAACATGGCCTGGAATGGCTCCCATGCTCTTCCTCTAGGTCTCTATCTTTTTGTTCTCCAGAGAGCATTCTCCTATTTGCACCAGAAAACACTTAATGAGGAACGATTAAAGGTATAAGTTTGTTCTCATCTAAACCATCTCATTATTTCCTCCTTTTACTTCATGCACAGAGCATTTATGTGCTATAAAAGAGCCCTATACAAGTAGAACAATGAAATATTTCAGTTAAAATGGTCTTTAGTCACAGCCACAAACAATAACTAGCATTACTAAAACCATTTCACCAGAGTAACGAATAATGTGCCTAACTCATATTGGCTAAATGTTTCCTTTCTTCATTTTCACAGAAATAATTAAGGTAGACAACCTTTTTCCACTCTGTAAAGAACACAGGGGCTCAAAGAGGTCAAAAAACAGGAAGCTCTGGCCCAGAGGAAGGGGCTTCCAGACCGCCTTTCCACTGCTCCCAGCCCAGAGGAGGTGAGCCAGTTGGGTGCCAACAGCACCCCCCACCACCACCACCTTCGAAATAAGAAGACACATAAACAGGTCTTAAAAACAGACTTCCAGATCACCTACAGCAACCCCAAAGGGAAGGGAGATGGAATACTCTGATACTCAACCACCTGGACTCCCTGAACTGGCCAAAAAAGAGGATCTGGAAAAAATGAAATCAGAAATAATTTCTCACAAAGGAGCAGAGATTGTGTGCACAGTGCAAGACATGATTAATAAACCTAGAGAAGACACAGATTAAAAAAATAGAGGAGCTGAGGAATATGATGGAATCCCAACATAGGAAACAAATGGAATCTATAAAACAGATGCAAACAGATTTACACATTACAAACTCCACTGAAAGTCTACACAGCAGAATGAGCCAATGTGAGGACAGAATTTCACATATAGAAGATAAGATTGCCATTAGTGTCCAGGAAAAGAAAAATTGCTTCAAAATTGTAAGGGACCATGAGAAATTGATCCAGCAGCTGCTAGATGATGCAAAGAAGAATAACATAGGACTGATTGGAGTCAATAAAGAAGCAGGAGAGTGTGCAGATGACATAAAAAAACAAACTGTTCACAGAAATAAAGGCAGAAAGCATCCCAAGCAGGGGAAAAGAACTTGACATAGAGATAAGTGAGGCATATAGGACTTCAACTAGCCTTGATAAAAAAAAAATCTACACCTAGGCATATAATCGTTAAGATTCCAGAAACCCAACAGAAGAACAAAATTCTACAATCAAAGAAAAGAAACAAATCACATACAAAGGAAAGCCCATCAGAATCACAGCAGACTTCTCAATGCAAATCCTCAAGGCAAGAAGAGCTTGGAGTGATGCATTCAAAGCCCTAAAGAAAAATAGCCTCCAGCCCAGATTGATATATCCTGCAAAACTATCTTTCAAAATTGATGAAGAAATAAGGAACTTTCATGACAAAGAGCACTTCAGGAACTTCATGAATACCAAACCAGCACTCCAAAAAATTTAGACAATATCCTAGGAAAAGGCAATGAGGATCACAAC